CAGTCTGGCAGATTTAGAATTTTCTGAAGATTCTTCAGGCTACTAGTAAAAATTCAACCTTCAAAGATCAAGTCCTCTATATTGATTAAATACATTAATAGGTAAAAGCAATGTGATGTCAAAAATAAAATCCTAGCAGAATGCAGTTTGCCAAATATAAGGCAGACATGCAAAAGCAATTATTCGTAAGAGGGTTTGAAATGCTGAATTTACTAAAAAATTAAGCTAAAAAATAGCTACCAAGCTGAGAAACAGAGACACCCCTCACATGCTAGATCTAATTAATCTGAAAATAGTTTCCCTGAAACTTGACTTTTTACCTTGGCCAGCTGAAGTAATGTTTAGAAGGTCTCTTAGTGTTTCTTTCACATGTGCCCTCTCTTCACAGATCATGGCAGGAGGAGAAAAGAAGGTAGGAAACTCAGAAGGAGGCAAGGGTGGGAGAAGTCTTGTGTTTTAAGGAATGAGAAAGTCTCTCTCCCATGAGACTGGAGATACTGAGACTGGAGGAACAAACCTCCTTCACTGTGCCCTTAGTTACACAAGCAGGCAGAAATGTTTAAAAACCAGCAAAGGAAAATGCTTTGAGTAATTGCTGTGAAAACAAAGTGAAGTTTCTCTTTGGCCCTTCTGATTTTGGTCATTTGAAGAGAACAAGAGCTCTCCAAAGGTCTGTTGCCCTAGGGAGCAGGGACATTATCTCAGTGAAATATTTTTTTGCAGAGTTTCCCAGCATAGCAGCTATTTGAATGAAATTTAGTGGGGAGAGAAGAAGAAGAGAGGGAAGGAAGAGTATGTGTGGTACTTGTATTTTGCCTTCTATTAGAAGTGCCTGAAGAAGATACAAACTGTGTAGTCTGGATATTTATTTTTTCATTTCTCTCCCACTGCTGTCTCGTTGCTGAGGATTTATATATCTCACAGGCGGCAGCTGCTCAGTGCTGCAGTGCCACAGGCACAGCAGAAAGAATAAATGCTTTTGGTCTCACTGTCACAATTTAGGTTCACCTGGGTTTGCTCTGCTGTAAAAGCAAATCCCCTCTGCTCTCAGGGGCCCCTGTAGCAACAGGAATTGAATGTGCCAGGGTGCAAGGCTTACAGGGCTTATCATACTTTAACTCTTAAGAGCACCTCCTTGTTCTGCACGCCCAGCAAAGACATGCCATGCGGGTAACATCACTGCTTGGTATGTTGCTAAAAACAGGTTTGCCATTTCTGCAGAACTTGAAAAGGCTTAAAAGGTGGCTTGGACTAACATGAAATTAAGGTGAACAGCATTTCAACTCCTGCTTGTAGATGAGGTATTACAAAATCATCCTAATAATCTGGTGGTTCAAAGGGGTAATTTAACTGCCTAGTGAAAGCAACATGTTTAATTAACAACAGTCTGTTGTTAAATGAGATTATGAGCATTACCATGACAGCAAACCTGTCACGTGCACTCTTCCAGTACATTTTCCATACTAACATGATTTCACATCAAAACTGGGGAAACTCTATTTCCAGTATCACTAATACAATTCACAAAGCTCTTGCCAAAGCGTGCTAAAGACTCAGCCGTAACTGTTGGTGCTAAGCCACAATTCTCACTTTCCCTATCACACATCAGTCAGTAAATTACACTTCGAAGCCTTATGAATATTTCTGCTCCACACCCCCAAGTTGTCTGAAAGGAAAGGAGATAAAGGGTTTTGTTTGTGGACAAACAACCTTCATCAAAGATACTGAAGGTTTTAGTAATTAAGCATTTTCTGCTAAAAGATTTCTGAAATATTACTTGTTTAAATGAGAGAATTAAGGGGATCATGTCCCTGAAAAATTTTTAAAAAATTAAAATATGCAAGATTAATATGTTTTCATGGTACAGAATAAAGAACTGTTAGTTGTATGTGACTAGATCTCCCAGAAGGCCATGTTTCCAAGTCCAAAGGAAATACTTATTTAAAAACGCAGCTAGATCTGTATCAGTGAGAAAGAATTCCAGCATCCTGTCTTGGAGTGGGTGATAGGGATTTTAAAAGATGGCATCTGCTCAAGGCCCATCCAGCATTTTTTTCATCTTTTACACAACTTAGTAATTTTCTTAGGGAACTTTAAAAACTTCAGGTTTTTTTAAAGAAAACAATATATTTTTAATTATACTGTTTTACTTCAAGGATTTGGTTGTGTTCTTAACTTTTTCTTGTCAAGCTCTATTATAGATATAGAAAACAGACAAACTAAAACAAATACTGGCAGATCCTAGAAGACATGCAATCATGTTTAAGACTCCAACAGCAAAGATCAGTTTGAGAGGCACAGTATTTAAATGAGGGCACTGAGCAGGATATTTCCCACTTAGAAGATACTGTACATAAGGCATGGCAAATAAGGCAGACAAAGATGCAAGCACAGACATCTGTATGAAGAACTGTCAGATCCAGAAAAGGGAAGGGAGTAAAAAAACAGGTGAAAAAATAAAGGGGAGGAGGTAGGACGGGGGTACTAAGAACCAAGAAGAAAAAATATCCAAACTATTATCTTTATGTCAAGAATATATGCAAAACCAACTCCTTTCAGCTATAAAACAGAAGAATTAGGATACATATTCCAGAAAGATAGAGTAGCATCTTGAAATAATTTAAAATATCAGATTTGTTAGATTCTTAAAAACTTGAGTAAGTATATCTTAAAAAGTCTGCTGGCTTGATTTCAAATAAAAAAACATAATCTAAAGATTATTGCTTTTCATGTCTGTTAAGGCACCCGGAAGGCTGTTGTCTGTCAAAAGCAGGTTACTGTTAATTTATCACACTATAGCCTAGGGCATTAAAGTGCACTAAAATGATCCATTGAAAAGAAGATAATTTGAAAACTGTGGAAACTTACCTAAATTACTGAAACATTAAGCTAACAATAAATGGTATTGCTAGCTGGAATTTGGAAACCATTTTACATTACAAAATTTTCCTTATTCAAGTTGACTGAAGAGGTGCTCCCTACAATATCAGCTCTTCTAATTATTCCATGACTAAAAGAAAACCACCACTATCATTTCCAAAAAAAGAAGATAGAAATTTTAAAAGTGAAGTATTGTGGCAGAAGTTATATTAAATAGTATTTATTACTTTTAATGACTGCTGCAGCAATTCAGAACTGGCAACAGAATCTGGAGGGATTAAATCCTCCTGATCAGCATAGTACACGTGTGTTGAAGTAGATGACCTCTTCTTTCATTTTCATCTTATACTGCATTCATGTTATGACCTAGGTCAATTTTTAATTGTCAGACCAGCTAAAAATGCACCGAGTAATGGTGATCTGGCTGGTGACCTTGATTATAACTGCAGTGTTGTAGGGTTTCTGTCATTTTTTCTTGTGCTCGATAGGAAGGAGCAAGAGCCAAACACACGCTCCCTTGTCAAACCAAACCTCAGGCAGGCAAGAGATAAAAGCATAAGTATCAGGTTTCTGGGATCAAATCACCCTTTGATCCTAAATGCTTTCAGCCTGGTGATCCTTAGTGTTACAGGATACTTTGTTACCACAGCTATAATCAGAAAACCAAGTAAATTGTTGTTATTATTGTTAATGCCACTCAAAATGCTTATGTGTTAAGTGGGGACTGAAGTAGAGCAATGTCTTCAGTGCACTGAGCTCTTTTAGAAAGCTCTGCTATGGAAAATTAAATTATATTAGGGGACTTTGAGTAGCATACGTGGTACTTCAGCCACAATTTCAGTGGCTACTCATTGCTTCCCAGCAACGGTGGTCAGCTGAGCTGAGAAACTGAACCAGCTTTAAACCACAGAGCAGGGTGACTGTTCTCTAGTCAGTTTTAGAGGTTTTTTTTTGGTAGCTCACTTTTCCCAGAAGAAATTCTTCCTTATCTTATGAGACAGCTATGCTCTCTTACTTTTCCTTCTGTACAGAAGATTATCTCTTGACTCCATCTAAACGGAAATTAAAAAAAAAAAAATCTGAAGTAATAAAAAAATTTGAGGCATCCAATCAAGCAGCATCTTTGCCACCAATAGTAGTAGTACTATTAACAACAGAAATACAGACAGGATGTTACACAAATGACTAAGTACAAAGCTGGCTGAAAGAGGTAGGTTAAAGATGCTCTAACTGACAAGTAGATTTCAAGCAACTGAATCAGCAGTTCCAGTATCACAGAAAATATTCATGTACATTGGTTTTAGGTGCGAATTCTTAAAAACTGGTTTCTCCTAAAAATGACCTCCCAGTACTGGACACTCCCAGTACTACATGCAGTGACGTTTTTGTAGCTTATGCAAAGGTGGTAAAGCACAACTGTCTGCAAGAGAATTCTTGTAGAAAAGTCAGAGGGTGGGGAAGACAGGGTATTTCCCTCAACTGCCTTCTCACAGGTTTTAATTACCTGTTAATATGAAAGTCTCTGAAGACTCCCAGAACAGCTTTCAGGTGGTTCTGAAGGCAGAGGTTGGCAAGAACAGGCTCCATTTCAGATTAAACTGCTTGCCTATCTGTTTGCATGATCAACAGCAAGCAGTCCCTTATGTTAATGTGTAAGTAAGAGAAACTTCAGAACAAACTGCCTTTGTAAGAAACACATGCTGCAATTGCAGCAACAGTCCACAAAAAAATTTAGTCTGTTTTGCCATTTGCTAATCCTTGCAATGAATTCCACTGCCATCTCAGGAATGACAGAGCTGGCAGTAACTATGCATGGCAAACCTGAATTGATACAGAAGGAGACAACATTATCCCTCACAGTGTCCTCTTCTTTCATCCCCAAGCTTCTGTGCCACACTGCAGCAGCTAAACTAAGCAATGGCCTAATTGGAATTAAAATTCAGATGAGCAAGCTAAACCTAAAGAAGCACAGACACATGAACAAATGACCATATGGAGGTAAGGTAGGGCTTATCTTCAGCCATGTATGGAAAACTATAGCAAAAATACATTTGGCCTTCATCATTAGGAATTATTTGTGGTATTTTCAGAGGGGACTTCAGCTGAAGGAAGAGACAATGTCATTTAAAAAAATAATTTTATTTTTTCCATACTTAGTGTTAAAATAATCTGGAATGCAAGTTGAGCTTGACAGAAAGCAGAAACCAGCAGTTCCACCAGTAATATTTAGACACTACTGCAGTTCTTTTAAGTTTTGAGAAATTTCATCAATTTTGGATACAAAAGCAAAACTCCCCATCCAGTAAGAAATGTAAAATTACAAGTCTAAATCTCATCAGGCACAAAACTGAAGTTTCCCTGAGAAGATGTAATTACAAACTAGTGTATAAACTTTATATCACAATATCAGGGTGCTTTAAGAATACAAAAGATTTGAATTCTTTAATACTCCATGCTGAAGACAAAATTTTCAGCAGGATTAAGAATTACATGTAACAGAACTGCAGCAAACAGATCTAAGTAAAATGATAACAGCTGGCTTTGCATATCCCCTTTTGCATAGCTTTTAGATAACTTCTAACGTTATATTCCTGAGATCTTTTAGTATTCAGTATGAAGTGCAGTCCAGCTGCTTTGTACCCCACCCCTTCATCTTTCTCTTCCAGTTAGCATTCATTACATTCATGGAAAAAAAAATTTGAGAATAACCATGAACAACATGCATTTTCTTTGCCTTAAAACAGTTTAACCAAATGAAGTCCATTAATTATACCTTCTAGATAATAAATATTCCCAATAGTTGGCTTTCGTGCTGACTTTATACCTAAAGCTCCAAACTTCAGTGTGCCACAAGGCATACTCAAGACATGTTTTCTCCCTCTTGTCCATGGATGAGGCAGGGCATGAGCAGCACCAGACCAACATGGTGAGAGTCATTATACCCATTATCAGCACCACCACGACTGCTGTAACACGTTGAAGTACGTAGCAGTAGAGTATCTGTACTTATGTTTCCCAACAGGAGCACACGTCTCAGTTCTTCTGCAGATACAGGGCTTTGTGTCGCAAATACTCTTCCAAGCATTTCACTGCAAAAGGGTCGACATCAGTGTCAAACTTATTAGCAAACAAGTGGTGGTTCCGTAGCATCCAGTTCAAGTCCCCTACTCCAAAAACACACACAGAGCGGATGTGAACTCCACTGCACGGTGGGTAGGGCGCACCTTTGGACACATCACCTTCAAAGTACTGCCACTTGACAAACCTGGCCAGGGCATTCATGTCAGAAACGTCGTACTTGTCGCTGGAAGAAAACGCGCCTGGGACTTCAGGGATTCTCTGAATTGTTGCCCACAGGTACTCATCTGGGCTGTAAGTATCTTTCGCCCACTCAATGAACTTCAGTATTTTGCTGTTTTCTAGTACATATTCTACAAAGCTCCTGCTAACTACAAAATAGGCACTGCCAGAAAAAACTGGAGTACTGAGAGGTGGTAGTTGTTTGTCTATGCCTGTGTTCTTTATTTTACCATCAATAATCTCATGGTGTTTCTTCCACCTTACTTCTTTGTAAACAGGCATTTTTTCTGTTTCCAAGCTGTTTTCACCCTTAAGGGCTTTTAATTTCTCTACTATTTCCTTGTTGGTCTTTATAGGAAAGTCCATACCACATAGGTTTATTAGGTATTTCCAGTTTGAACTTCTTCTATGGAGATCTTTCATGCAGTTAATGTCTGCCTGCACTCTGCTCCACGAAGCATATACCACACTCTCTAACTGGCTGGAAATAAAGACATTATCAAAACATGAGACTATTCCCTTCACAGCAGCAAAAAAGGATTCTGGAGACTTTTTGTCTACATGAATGCAGTAAAAATTCTGTGGAGCATAGATTGATCTTAGAAGTCTATCAAGCATCTCAATTTTGTGATAAACCACTATTGAGTAAGCAATTGGAAATTCTGCTTCTTCGTTACTGAGAGGTTCCATAATGTATTTCCTAGTTTTGGTGAAGGAGGCACAGTCTGCAGTCATGTTAATATAATCATCTGTTGTTAGTCTGGGGCGCTTCTTAAATGACACTGATAATGCCTCAAGCTGTACCTTTTGTATTTCTTCTATATCCCCCTCAATAATCTTGGTGCAGTTAACATCACTAATAGGATCTTCTTTTGTTAGCTCCAGATGTCTCCGGTTTAGGAAGTCTTCCTTCTGGTTAACTTTCAAAACTGAAATTATTACTAAAATGAGAGTTAGACCCAAGAAAAGCCTGAAGCGTGAGTTGTAGCAAAACCGTAATTTCCTCTTCAGCATTTCAAATACCAGGTAGCTTTGCAGGGCTAAAGAAAATGTCCTCTTCTCTCTTCATATGAGCTTCAACAGCTTCAGAAAAAAATTTTGTTTCTCAGGAATTTGGCAAGTTTTTCAGGGAAATGGAAGGAAAAATCCTAAACAAAATGGAATATGATAGTCATTGTTAGACTAAAAGGTTTCTTTAAAAAATTAGTGATTAATAATTACACTTTTATTTAGTGACAGTAGAAAGCTAAATAGTTCAGCCAAAAATATCCTGTTGAAAATTAAAAATTCATGAATAAATTTTTAATAGAAAAACACTGGGAAAAGCATACAGTTTTCATAAAACTTCCACAGTACTAACACTAAAAACTGAAGTTCAGTAAGAAAACAGAGCTGATTCACCTGCATTTAAAACAAAATTGAAGTCAGATACACTACTGAGAAGCAAGTATTTCTTGTTAATTCATGCTTTAGAGTTTGACAAGAATGTTTAATGCCCACTTCAGGTTGACGTACATTTCCTTATCATTAAGACTTACCACTCACTTCCTGGATAGCAGTCATGCTTTAGTTCTCACTGGCAAAGAAGTCCCTGCAGCCTTTCAAGATCTTTATGTGAGACAGTCTCTTCAACATCCTTCATACGAGCTTACAAATACCACCAGGGAAGAGCTGATGAGAAGGGCGAGGGAAAAAAGTTACTACAGCAGGACACCTGAGTTTTCAGAGTTGTGAGAAAAACTGTTACTGAATTGCTGAAATAGGTTTATAAGGTAAAAGGCAATACTTACCACCTGGATCTCAAGATGATTTTTATCAAGTTACTGCTAGTGCACTAATCTAAGTGCCCAGCAGTATTGCATTACCATCATTTAAACACAATTGTTTTTAATATTCAGCAATTACTTTTATGTGGAGGCATGCTGCAATGCTGGATTGCAACAAGATTTCTAGCCAACTTTATTTTCTACTTTACTGCACAAGCACTATATATTTTTTGTTTGTTAGTTCTGTTACTCTTGAAGTACCTTTTTTTCTGTTTCAGTACTCTGTGAATAGAATCATTGCAGTTGTGCAGCAGCTACAGCTGTAGCTGTTGAGAAAGCTGCACTCTAGAACTGTATCACAGAACTCAGTCTTTTTTTTTCTTTTTTTGAAAGTACTATCTCATGCAAGTAAAATGATCAAGAACAGGATATCCTTAAATAACTTACACTGCTACTCAGATGCCACTTCTAATCACAAATTCATTGCCTAATAATTTAGTGCAGGTTTAAATTTCAAACCAGCTCCTAACTGCAAAAGCCCACACAGTTTACAGAGAATGTCTTCCAAAACGTAAATCTGTAAGTTTATAAAATATAAAGTACTTGAGAGATACAAGGCTTCTTACACTTTTACTACTTTCAAGAAAAAATATAGTGCCTCAGAATAACTTTTTTAATAGCCCTAAGAATAATAGCTACTCATAAAAACTGGGAAGAAACTCTTGTTTAAGAAAAATAAGTGTGTATTGTGTCCACTGCTCCACTGTTTTGCCATAGGTTGTTCAGTGTTAAGAATTTCCTTTTCCCCCCTATTTTCTTTAAGCTGTCCCAGTATCATTTTAAGTTTTAATTGCTAAACAGTGGCTCTTAAGCTGCTACTTGCAGATCTCAGTTTAAGAAACTGAGGCATGGCATAACAGAGTTTTTAATCAGTAATGCCGCAGAGTAATACACTACACATTGGTCCACCACTTTGCCCATGACACTGCAAACTGACTGGGCAAAGCAGCAGGCGGGAGGAAGGTGTGGAACACTGCACAAGTGTCTAGCACAGCTATGAGAATTAGGAGTACTACAGTCAAATACTCTGTATTGCAAGCCAACAGAGACCACAAACTAGACACAAATTTGTCACTAACAACATCATATCACATAGTTTTATTTACTCTGAAGTGTACTTAGTTTTCAGAATTACAACTGTAAGTATTTTATCCTGCATTTCTAATTTATTTTAAGGAAGGCAGACATTTGTTCAAAGAGTATTTTTCATGTACAGTGAAGTCAAATTGGAAGAAAATTTAAAACTTAAGGAAAGTAGCCCAGTGAGCTAGCATGCAATTACAGCGGAAAGCACAGAGAGGGAAATTTTAACAATGAGGTCTTGCACTTTGAATTAAAAAAATTTTATAGGAAAATTCCAGAATTCTCTTTCAATTTGCAATGTGACACTGAACCCAACAACATAATTTAGAACATGTTTTAACATGCTTTGTAACTTATCACACACTTTTGTACTTGATGTCCTGCTTGTTTTCACTAGTAAATCTAATACTCCAAAAATAATATTCATTGCATATTAAATTAACAGAGGAAGGAGACTAAATATGTGATAGTGTCCATTGGGTATACAGTTTCATAGGATGAAGCATGTCATACTGCTTACCTTCAATTACTGTATTCTGCCTACAAACTTAAAAATTAAGACTTTTCTAGAACTTAAAGTGTACTTCAAATACAGTTATATTTGTGATACTTTAGCTGATAGACATTGGAATCCTTTCTTTAGGCTGTTGGCACTATTATTTCATCCTATTCTTAGTTTCTATAGAAGCACTAGCATTGAGAAATAACACATACTCAAGAAGATTACCAACCCATCCCTGTTCCAAGGGAGAGAGATGATCTTGATTGAAACTGACCATGGCAGTCTTCATCTTCTAAAATTTTCAAAGAATAAAGCTTGCTAAGAAGTCTTTCGTGCTCCCATTTTAGAATACAACTTAGTTGAGTCTAGGATAAAGAATCCCATTCAGAAAGACCTTGTATACCCAGCTGGGTGCAATTCCTCTATTGTTCAGAGCTCAGAATAATCAGAGCCAGCATTTTCATTATACCAAAATAAGAGACCTGCAAACATTTACACATTAACATGGCTCTTATCTTTATGTGGATTTTTTTTCCCTGTAAATTTCTCTCACTGGCATGCTTCTTCCTCAGACCAATTTTAACAGTACGTTACTATTTGTTTATGCTCACTTTCAAATTCCTAAAATCTGATCATATCCCATTCACAAAAGCTGATCTTTACAGGATAAGATTTGTTGTCTTTCATCTACAATACACCTAATACACTTACTGAGCCTAGAACACTCAATAGTTTAAGACTGCATTCAGTTGATCTTTTAACATGACTAAAGCTTTACCTCTGCACAGCCTTATTGCACACACTAGAGAATTACCTTGTCAGAGGCAGCACTTTCCATTGTGGGAGAGGTGGAGGACGATTTGCAAGACTATGGAGGAAATGCTTTATTTGGCAGCCTTCATTTTGCTCTCAAATGAGGTTCAGCTGCAGAATTTACATACGTGACCTACTTCCCTTTTTTTTCCTGCTTTCTCCTCAAGTCAAAATCTGTATTTCTGAAGCAGTCATCATTAAAAGGGGAAACTTACAGCCGTTGCTGGTAGTTGAGGAAGTTGGTACAAAGGCTGAGTTAGCTGTCCACTTCCCTCTTTCCTGCCAAAATTATTCTTTATTCTGTCTACAAACTGTATGGCATGACTAAACAAAACCAAGGTAATTTCAGCTTGATTTCTAGCAAACACAAAATTCCATAAGGAACCTAGGTCTTCAAAACAAAAATCGCCCGAAATCTCCAAAACAAAGTAAAAACCCCCACCAAGCAAAACACTTATACAACAGCGTACCACAGCTTGGAGGGAGGCAGAGCTGGCGTGGAGGTTTTGTGCAGACAGGCTGCACTGGAGCTGCTGGTCCTACAGATGAGGATGGTTGTGAGGGCGCAGGCCAGCACAGGCCACAGCGGCCACAGCAGGCAGTGTGCCGCAGCAGGCAGGCCGCCAGAGCCGCTGGCACAGCCCCACCTGCCCTGCTCCGGCACCGCCATGCGCTGCTGCTGGACGGAGCAGCCCCAGCCCACCCTGGGACCCACGCACTGCGCCAGGAGCAGTGCAACAACACACCCAACAGATGGGCTCTGGGGAGCTCTCCAGCCAGCGGGCCACAGAGATGGATTTGCTGCGAAGTCCTAACACTTTACAAGGCATGTCCAGAACGCTTCAAAGCACACACATCAATTGTAGTTACTACAGTTACCACGTTTCCATTCAGATGCAGTTATGCAGAACATTCATTCTGATGAGGAGGTGATTTTCAAAGCAGTAAGCAGCTTGTATAAACACAAACATGCATAGACACAAAGAGAGACAGCAGTGGACTGCAGTCATCTGCAAAGATCTGCCAAACACAAGAGTCATTTACTCGGCTTTCCATAACACCAAGCAGCACAATCTTGAAAGTAGGTATGTCTGTAAATGAATTAAAGAACTCATATTTGTTCTGTTAGGTAGTGTTGAGTCTTGGGTCTTAGTGAAAATGAGAACTGATCATAAGCCACATAGTTGGCTTACCATAAGCCTTTATGGGACTCCTAATTCTGAAATCATATGCAGCAGGGTTTCATGTGGGCACAGTTGTCTGCAAGTCCTACAATACTCTGTAGGAGTAGATGCTTTTCCCTCAGAGTTGCTCAGGAAAACAATAAAAAAGGAAAAATACACTCCCTTTTTACAGAAAAAAAACCCTAACGCATTTATAGTCCTTTGTCAACTTGGGAGACAGCTTTAAACAAAACTCCACACGTGACTAGGACTGCTACATCCACCACTACATGGAAATTAAATACTGAGAGTAGCTAAAAGTAGACAACTGGTTTTTCAGAGCTAAAAAAAAGATGAAAATAAATTCAAACCTCCAGGTTAGCTAAAGATATTATATTCAATAGTTAGGAATCTTACGCTCTAAAATATTTGTTTCAAAAAATGAGTAACACTCACATGAACATACACTCTGTGTAGATTGTAAATTGAAAAAGCAGTTGGTTTTACTAGCCTTTCTAGTACTCTTATACTACTGTATCACGTAAACTTTCTGCAGAACAGTTCAAAGCCTTATGACTTGATGTTGTCCGTCCTTAGAGGCCCCACAAACAGAGCTAACAGTAAGGAATTTCAGCTCAGAAGAGTAAAGATGTTATGGCAAAGTCATTCAGTGACTAGTTCCTACCTCAAGAATCCTGTGACTCTTAGTACAGACAGAAAGATAGGTTTTACCTTAAGGTTACTAACACTGGAAGTATGAATCACAAAACAAAAAATAATAAAATCTTTAAACTAATGTTGGCCAATTTAACATGCCAGAAGAACTGCCAGGTGTTCCTCAAGGTAATTTGTACACTTTGGCTACTTCAAGGTAAAACAGGCACTTAGTTTTTTCACAGTATTCTAAACTAGGACCTATAATCACCAGGAAGAGAGCAGTTGCTACTCTCCTCATGCCCACGTAAAAACTTTTGCTCATCGCTGCCTTGTGACAATGCTGTATTTCATAACAGGACACACTGACAGGAAAGGTTATCTATAAAACCTGAAGGGAAGCAGAAGCAAAAAGCTGTCAAATTTTTGAGCACTTGGATCCCTCTTCAAGCACTACATAGAAAATATTCTGAGATTTTTCTTTAGCCCTATGGAGAAGCCAGCATTTTAAAGCCAGGCCTACAGTTAATCAGAGAGCTAAAGAATCATCACTGAACTTCCTGAGATACTCTATCAGTTTTCCAACATGAGGTTTCTGTTTGTTTTATTCAGTTCCTCTAACAGCACCACAATTATCCTATGTACAATAATGCTGCATATTACAAAAAGTGGTGTCTCTGGAGCTATCAGGTAAACCTAACACTGAAAGTTACTTCACTGTACTACTGGGTAGGACACATTTCTGTGGCACTACATTTTTCATCTTTTCTAAGAATTCTAGGTTGATAGGTGTTTTCCACTTTCAGGAGTTTATGAACCAGTGTAAAGGGAGAACTTAATTATGTTGAAATCCAAAGCAAAACTGAGAGGGATTATTAAAAAACCAAAATTAACTCTTTTAATAAGGCTACCAGTGCGTTTTCTAATATGGAAACAAAATTGGAGAGCAGGATTTTGCTCAGTGAACATAGTATTTTCAGCAAATAGACTGTAAATCTTCACCTTGTATGTTTGCCTTGCATTTGGTTTATGTTAGAAAAGAAGGCAGACTTAGCAAAGGCATTAATCAGGTTTTTTAGCAATTTTTGGCTCTTCTGGCCTCAGGAAGTGAGTATTACTCCACGTAACTCAAATTCTGTAGGAAAGGCATTATGCTGGTAACTTTTATACACTATAGGCAGAATAGCTAATCATTGAAGACAGAAAATATTTTCTTTTGTATACACCTACTTTCAAAAGCAATCTAAGTGATCTCCAACTTGAGCTACAAACACTGCACTATTTTTCACAAAGATTTTCAAGTTGAAAGACAGAAAAGCTAGATTTTCTGTCCCCTCTTCTCTTACTACCATTTCTGACTCTCATTCTTGCCAGCTCTGTGGTCAAATACCTCATATTCCATTAAAAATTAAATTTAAAATAGCAGACTCCAAAATGGTAATTCCCTCCTGCTGCCACTCCTCCTTTTTCCCACAAAGAAGTCCACTTTTCTCAGCAACCCTGAAAGAGGGCAAAGTGCCAGAGCACAACTGAGTCTCCTGTCAGCCTTCTTTCTCGGTCCTCTCACCCAACCTGGGCCACAAAAAACTATTTACAAGCTCCTAAACAGCTTTTTAAATTTTTTTTTATTCTGACCGAAAATAACTTTTTTCAGCGTTTTCCCAGTCACAGTCAGAGTGAGAGAGAGTCAGAGACAGAGAGAGAAAGCACCACAACCTACGACTGCAACACCTCAGGCGCATCATGAATCCTAAACCCTGGTATCGCTCGTTACTCCCCACCAAGCCACCAGCCTGCCCGCGGCTCCTGCATGCACCGCCGAGGGAAAAGGAGAGCGCAGCAGGGTCCGAAGGCACACAGGCAGAAAGCGGGGAAACAAAACAAACTAAGAAAAAAGAAGGTGTGACAGGGAAAAAGCGAGGGAAGAAGGGGGAAAGCGAAATACGAAGAACGGGAGAAAGAAGAAAAAGGACATAAGTGGAGCCAAAATGAGAGGGGAGAGGGAAATGGGGGCGGAGGGAGGGGAGTGGGGAGAGAGAGGAGGGGATGGAGGGAGAGAGAGGGAAAGGGGTAAGGAAAGAAAAAAGAGGTGGGGGAAAAAAGAAGGAAAGAAAGGGGGGTAGGGGAAAGGACAGAGACACAACAGATGCGTCTCCCTGCCCTCCAGTGCAGCACCTGCCCGACGATACGGCGGCTCCTGGAGTAATACTGCGAGGCTCCGCAGGGTACGGCGCCTGGGCAGAGCGATGCTCCAGAGCAGCCCGCGCTGCGCCCGCTCCGGGACCACTCCCGCTACGCCCCCAGCGCCAGGTGCGGAGCAGCCCAGGGGCAGGCACGGAGCCCGGCCACCTCCCCGGCGGGCGCGGCCCCGGCCGGACTCCGGCTGCTGCCCTGGGCTGCGGACCCCGCCCGGCCCCGCGCCCCTCCCGGCACCCCCGCGCGGGTCCGGCCGGCCCGGCCCTCCGCGGCGCCGCGGCCGCGCCCTGCCTCCCGCCCCTGCCTCCCCGCCCGGCCCCGAGCTCACCCACACGGAGCCCTTGGCAGCGCTTGTTTGGCCTTTCTGTTGCTTTCCTCAACGCTGCGGTACCGGTAACGTTGGAACGCTCGCAGGACCAACTCCTCTGCGGCTCATGGGATCGAAGGGCTGTCTCGTGTTCCCAGCCCGAAACGACCGCGCAGCCAGCACCGGGTGGTGCCCGGGGGCGCTGGGCGGGCTCGGGGTGGCGGTAGCAGCCCGGCTGAGCGAGGGGCCCGCGGGCCCGCGGCTCCTGCGGCGGCACTGCGCGGCCCGAGAGTCGCCTGGTGCTGCATGTGGGCTTGGAAGAGCTCTGTGAGGGAACATGGAGCGACGGAAGAGAAGGTGGGGGGGAAGGGGAGCAGACAGACATGGCTGGGAAGAGGTGCACCAACCTTGCTGCGGTGAGGACTAAGACGTGTCTAGGCAGAGTGTGAAGAAATCTCAGCTTTCTTGTTCGCTTTGTCACTTCAAATATCTGTCTGACGATAAACGTAGTTTGGAGAGCTGTGAAAGATGAAGGTGGAGCTTAGGGGAAAGCCCCTTATTATTTTAGCGAAGTACTTTGAAAGAAAACAGAATATTAAATTTCAAGGAAATAGAAAGTTCAAAGAGAGCGTGTGCCTCATTGAAAAACCCCAAGTAGTGCAGCCTGCAGCAGCTTGAACAGTGCTTACAGAACTCCCCAAAAATCCTTGTACATCAGCATTAACTGGCGTGCAGCTTCATTTGGCAGCTGGAGACACGCTTAATGGAATTGTCTCCTGGCCATTTCTCATTGCAGTCGTGAGATTGTACTGAGAGATCTCGCATCTACACTGACCAAGGGACTCAAAGCTAACCAGAAAATGAGATTAGCTTTCTGGGCTCTTACTAGTACACACTGCCAGCAGAAGAGGGAATTGTGTCCACCCATCAGATCCATCCACATGGATCAGACAGCTTATTTTAGGAATGGACTGCAAGGTCTCAAATTATCATCATGTCAAGATAATGTTTAATGTATACACATATATATATGCATGCTGGGTAGAGAATTAGTTTGTAGCTGTATGCCAGCTTGGCAGTTCTCCCTTTTTCCCCTTTTCCTGACAGATGGGGGTGGGGGGGAAGCTGGTTTTCTAGTGTGTCTGTTATTTACAGGCCTGAACTTCTTGTTCACTTCTGATTGTTCATGGAGGACCATGCCAAATGGCCTTTTATCTTTTATGTTATCATTCAGCAGGGGATGATAGGAGAAGTTTCTAGCAGGAGACAGAAATCTAGGGGAGGGGCCAAGATTTCCTATTAGTTTTCCCCATGAAGAGTAATGTTTTACAATTACTCATAACTTATGGTTATAGACAGTGACTGTGTTTTGTTTGTCTTCCATGTAAATGAGAAAAATAAATCATACTATAAATAAATGTAAGTATCTGTTTTCTTGCTAAACTGCCTGCAAAAAAATCACAGTATTGCAATTGCAGCACAAGCAGTAGAGCTGAACACCAGTATTTAAGAGAATGAATTGGGTAAGCTTTAGGGGCAGATGTTTGCTCTCACTGTTTTCCATCCACGCTGCCCTAATTACTTAAAAAGCTACAGATGCAAAGCTGTCTGATGCAGAACCACCAACTAGAGTGGCTAAATATTGGTGCACTAACAAAGTACTGTCTAACAAGTACTTCCTATGGAGAGAAAAAAAAAAAGGCATTAAAGTTATTACTGCGTGTAATTATTTCAGGTAGAGGACTGAAGTTAAGAAGTCTGTTATTCTCTGGTTTTGGCACAAGTAAAATATGGAGTTCATTGACATAATTACAGAGGTTGTGATCCTTGGCTGACCATGCTGGCAGAGACCCATCATGTTTTTAGTGCAGCTTTGTGACACTTCAAGGACTGTGTTTGTCTTAACGTTTGTGTTATGGATAGATTTGTTAGCTGTTCCTGAAAAAAAAAAATAGATGAAATTGGTTTGTGCCTGGTTTTTACTCTTCCAACCTTGAGTCTGGAATATGAAGATGACAGGGTCCACAAGCTGCACTTTCTTCCATGTGACAGGCCAGTGACAGATGTGACTGCATGGCAGCTGTAAAACAAAAGAAAAAAGTATGTTGTTCACAATTTGGAATTACTGACAGATAAAACAATAGAAAAAGTGGAACTTAGAGGCAAAATAAAGACAAAAGTGAAAAAAAAGCAAGTTGCAAATATGGGAAATTTAAAATACATAAACGATTTTGCTGTGAATTTTGATTGGTTTGAATGAAAACAGTTTGTGCATGAATGTTTGATTGATGAGGTAAGACTAACAACCCAGTGAAAACAAGGACATGCAGACAACCTTGAGAAAGTTCCAAAAATAATGCACTTTTTCTGTGCATGGCTAAACTTACATAGTTACGGTGCAGGAGAATACAGCTTAAATGAATTTTGAATAAGGAGCACAGCTGTCTCACAGATATGCTTTCTAATTTGATATTAGTATCTCATTTGTAATTTGACAGCTGCCTTCAGGATTTTAGGCTTTTTCTTAGAAAACATAAAGTATACAAAATGTTTCTAAATACCTTAGATTTTTTATGCTACATAAAAAGTTTAAGTGGTAGGGAATTTTTTAAACCTCATGCTTCCTGCTAATTCTTGTAAGTTTACTAGTTTTAAGGAAGTAAATCTTCCTTTTTCTGGAAGGTCAGACAGCAGTCTAGCAGTTTGTAATTAGACCTTCCCTACTAACCTTTGTAAAAAATTGCTTGTCTTAATTTTTCTGTCATGTAAGTGCAACCCAAATATCTATTTCTTCTGATAATTCAGACCTAACATTAGAAAGAGGCAAGGTCCTAATATCTATCCACAGACAGACAGAGGACCCTAACCTCAGTTTTGAATCCTGCTAGGGCACGAAGGTTTCTTCATAAAGAGAGTGTGATCTTACTGCATTAGCCTTCTCTAAGGAAAGAGTTGCTGCAGTCCAGGAATTTTTATTATCTTCTCCATAAACGTCCCTAGCAACATTTACCTTTGTTGTAAAGTTTATGAGACATAATGTTCTTGTCCTACATTCCGAATTCTGCCTGCTCTGTACCTGAGTAGGGGAAAAAAAGTAATCTTCAGTTTGAAGACAAATTCTTGAAGGTTGAGCCTCCACATAAATTGGGGGTGGTGGCGGAGTGTGCCAAAAACGCGAACACTGTGTGCTGAAGTAAAAGGTCCAAAGAAGATGATTGCAGCTGCCAAAACCATGTAAACACAAAATATTGTCTGACAGAAGACATGTCAGTCCATTTATCTCGGTTTGAAAATAAAGAAAAGCATGTCTAAAGCACATTGTAGTGTGCTCTTTGGAACAAAATGTGTACTGATGTGGGTCAGTATTAATTTCTAGGGACAAGAGGGGCTCATGCTTAAAGTTCATTGGGGAAGGTCATGTTTTCTTCCTTAGACTATGTGTAATGCATATTGAAAATAGTATTTCACTTTATTTGTTGTCTGCTTACACAGAATTCTGGTACTGTTTGAGAGGCAAATTTTTCAGGTAAGTTCAAAGTAAGTTTAATATGAATAGACTCAGTACTGCATGATCAAGCACATGCTAGGACAAATTTCTTCCAAGACACTAGTTAGTTACTGCTAATTACAGAATCAAAAATAATATGGAGTGGATTGCAACCCTGAGTTGCCAAAATTACTGTAAAACATACACTGGGTAAAATAGGGGCTTCTTGTCTTACCACTGTGGTGAGTTTGACCTTGGCTTGCTGCCAGATGCCTACCAGCTCTCTTACTTTTCTTTCTTCACAGAATAGGATTAGAAAATAAGATGGAAAAGCTCATGATTGGAATAAAGCCAGAGAGATTACTCACCTGTTACCATCATGGTCAAAACAGACTCAACATGGGAAAGATTAATTTATTGTCAATTAAAAATAGAGTGCAGTGGTGAGAGGGGAAAAAAAAGGACAAAACTAAAACCACCTTCCCCTTAGTCACTCTGGCTTCTCCTCAGATTCAGCTTCACCACTTCAATTCTTACTCTTCCTACTTCTTCCCTCCTGTGTGCTGCAGGGGCATGAAGAATGATGATTGCCAATGTCATTGTCCCATAACTGCTCCTCTCTGCCCGTCCTTCATCCTGGTGCTGGTTTTCCCTTTCATGTCCTTCACAAACTGCTCTAGTGTGGGTCCTTTCAATGGTCTACTGTCCTTCAGGGACAGACTGCTCCAGCTTGGAATCCGCAGCAGATAGCTGCTCCTTCCAGGAGCCTCCCTCCTCCTGAATGAGCTTTCTACTGTCTACAGCTTTCTCCAAAACACACACCCAGCTGCTCCTTATGAGATCTTCCATGGGCTGCCTGTGGTTATCTGTTCAACTGTGGTTATCCGTGGGGGTGCAGGGGGACAGCCTGCTTCACTGTGTTCTTCTACAGGGCCTGCAGAGGAACCTCTGCTCCAGCATCTGAAGCACTTCCCTCCCACTCCTTCATTGCTGGCATTGGTGTCCCTAGGGCAGTTTTCCCCATATTTTTCTCACTCTTTCACAGCTTCTGTAGAGTGGTTGTTGCACTTTTTGAAATATCACAGAGTTGCCAGCAGTGTCACTGACAGGTTCAGCGTTGGATAGCAGTGGGTCCATCTTGGAACTGTAAGGAACAAGCTGTGTCACATATGGGGCATCCCCTGAACTGTTCTTGCAGAGGCCTCCCGCCTCATCCCACCAACTTTGCCAAATAAACTAAATTGAACCATTTAGATTATTTTTTGTTTCTCTGATCCAGTTAAGAAGTATGACTTGCTGATTTCACTGAAAAGGTGAGAAGCAAGCCAGCTGCTGCCATGACTGTTGGGGGAATGAATAACTCCTCCTGCAGACTGCTTTGGCAAGAGTGGTGAAAGCTCATCCTGGTGTAGCCTGGCAAAGACAGTATTTTAAGCAGAAGGAGAATCAGTCAAGGTCCTCCTAAGGCACTAACAAATGAGAAAAACTTCAACCCTCTGAACTATTTCAAATCTTATTTATCAAAATTATAATTTGTCTTAGAAAGCCCCCTCTCCCAAAGAAATAATAAATCACTACTGATATTATGTATATAACCATAAATAAGTACATACATATATGCAGATCTATGTGTATGTATATGTCAGGAATTCTGAACTAATGTTTGAATTGGTTTAACTTGTTCTTTACATTTTTGAAACATTTCGCAGATTTCAGAGCTTGGTCTCACAATTGCTTACAGGTGGTCCAAGTGCAGATTTCTGAAAGGATTGCAGACTGTGTATCTGCAGTGGTCTGCTCAAGCCCTTCCTTTGAGTGTCTGTTGATGGTTTCACAAGTCAGCTTTCCCAGAGAAGTTTGTTTCATTTTTCCTTCTTCGCTTTATTGAAGCTGATGCCTTGGGTTTTAGCTTTCAAATTTTTCAGATTCTGTGCTGCCTAGGTGTGTAGCTCTGAGCTTTATATTAAGTGTTAGTAAGTTCTCTTCACAAGGTAGGTAGACAAAACAATCCCTTTCCATCAAGGACAACCATTAAAGTTTCAGGCCCAAAAGGTATAAACAATAGAGCACTGAAGATAGGAACAAGGAGGATGGGACTTCATAACCTGAAGCTGTAATTAGACAATTAACTATAATATGCAAATGGACCAAAAAGAAAAGGTGTGAAACCTTGTGACTGGTTGTCCATTTCTGTGACCATTGTGGGTCCATCTTGGGTGTAGCCAGGTTGCTGTACTGCCCAGGGTGTATCCATTGAGGTCTTCTAATAAATACCTACTTTATTCCTTTAACTCTGTCTGGTCTCTGTTCCAGGTTCAGCCTTTCAAGGCATCAAAGCTGTTGTTACAGCTGCATGGTGCGTTGATCTTGACTGGATGCCAGGTGCCCACCAAAGCTGCTCGATTGCTCCCTTTCCTTAGCTGGACAGGGGAGAGAAAATATATAACAAAAAGCTTGTGGGTCGAAGAAGGGCAGGGAGGCATTGCTCAGTAATTACTGTCACCGGCAAAGCACACCCAACTTGAGGAAATAAGTTTATTACTGATCAAATCAGAGTAATGTCATGTTAATGAGAAATAAATCTAAAAAATACCTTTCCCCTTAGCTTCTTCCCATGATCAAATTCACTCTGGGTTTTCTCTGTCTTCCCTCTGCAAGTGAGACAGGGGACAAGGAATGGAGGTTGCGGTCAGTTCATGTGTTGTTTCTGCCATTCCTTCCTCCTCAGGGGGAGGATTCCTCACAGTCTGTCCCTGCTCCATTGTGGGATCCCTGCCATGGGAGACAGTACTCCATAAACTTCTCCATTGTGAGTTCTTCCACGATCTGCAGTTCTTTACAAACTGCCCCAGCATAGGTCCCTTC